GGGAGGCCTTATGTTCGGGGAGGTCTTATTTTGGGGGGATGCCTTATATTTCAGCGAGAGGCAAAACTGTAAGTAGGTCTTATTTTCTGGGGATGTCTTACTTTCGGGGAAACACGGTATATGTCTGTGGAAGTGGCAGTCAAAGAAATCAAACCAGGTGTTTGGGCAAATTGTCAACCGAAGGCCTCTGTAAAGTACTGAAAAGCAAAGATGTCACTTTGATGAGTGAGATGCCCAGTCTTATGTGCCTGTGCAAGATGGGTCGTGAATGTGGAAGAGCCGACGTGCTCCAACTGTGGAGTTGGCAGAGGGTGGTTAACATGCCCGGGCTGCCAAGAGAGTAGGAATTGAATTGCGGTAGTCTTAGAAGTGAGGATGGCAAGACTCACCTGCGTGCTTTGGTTCCACACAAAGAAAGACTGGTTTCTGGGCAAGGGCACTGCTTCATTCTGTTGATAAAGTTAGCACGAGTCCGAGCCTATTTGATGGCAGTAACACCAAGAATACAAGTGATAGTTAAAGTTATTTCTATTTCTCAGGTAGGAAAGCCTACAGCTTACTGGAAGAGCACTTGTAGCACAGCACCTTCCCTAGTTAGACATTTATCTACTGGTGAATGAATGAATGCACTTTCACCCATGTGGCAATCTGAAATCTGCCACTCCCTCCTGGTTTCTTTCTGTCAGTGCTAGTGACTCCTCCTCGAGTGCAAATAGCTCACAGACTGTGTCTATCAGCCCTGCTTCCTTTTTATATTTGCTATGTCTTCGATAACACTCATTTTTATTTTTCCCCCCGCAAAGAGTAAATCTGCGTTTATTTGCTCTAAAAAATATTGCAGTCATGTTGATACTGGTATTTAACTTTGTTTTGTTTCCCTATTGCCCTCAGTGCTTTGTAGTTTTAGCAATGTCTAATGAGAAAAGGATATGTAATCATTAATAAATTGAGAAAAAATTAATTTAAAAATGATAAAAAGAAATACCAGCATCTTTAGACCTCCCCTTCAGGGATACTCTCATAAGATTTGAGTCTTTCTTCCTGTCAGCCTTTCAAAGTGCGAGGGCATTTCAAAAAATGTAAAGCCTACTGATATACTTGGTTAACTTTTTATTTGTATAGGTCGATTTCAGTATTTTAGGTCTTAAAAACGCGTCAAAAACAAAAACCCAGTTCCATTGAATCAATTGCAGCTTAAAACAATCCTGTGGAGCAGAGTCCGACTGCTCCATAGGGTTTCTGATGTTGGAAATCTTCACGGGGCAGACAGCCTCCTCTTCCTCCGACTTCCACATTGAAATACCGTCTGTTCATCAGTGAACCATAGCTCTGCTGCAATAGGAACAGCCTGCTTTCTATAAGGACGTTTATATTTTTATTTTATTTTTTTCATTTACATTTTTATAGGCATCATGCTAGTACCTTAACAATTACTATAAGAAATTCATGTTTAATGTAGATTACTCTTGAACATTCCTGCTAACAATTGCTCTACCACATCAGAACCTTGGAAAAACAGTCCAAATGACTTATCAGCAAATTTGAAAGTGTTCCTATATGTATTGCTTCAAGTATACACAAATACATGAGTTACTTTTATCAACCTGAATGAAGCTCCCATTTGTAATCGTGTGTAAAAGAATTGAATTATGGTAGCCTGTGCTAATTGGTAGGACCTCTGGCGGCACAGTGGTTAAAGAATTTGGCCGCTGATGGAAAGGTTGGTGGTTTGAACCCTCTAGCTGCTCCTTGGGAGAAAGACGTGGCGGTCTGCTTCTGAAAAGGCTTACAGCCTTGGAGACCCCGTGGGCAGTTCTGCTCTGCCCTCTCGGGTCGCTGGGAGTCAGAATGGACTTGTATTGTTGTATTGTTCAGACAGAATGTAATGCTAACTCATTTTTCTCTTTCTTAAAGGTAATGTGGCTTTAGATAATCTACAGATAAAAGAAAATGCTCTGGTAAGTTTTTAAGAAATTATGCTAACTCAGCTAATTTGCTGAGATCTTAGACACTCCTTGGTCACTGCTACCAGATGGAGTGATTGAGTCTTCAAAGGGGATCACTCATAACCTTTTGCTGTAGGAAAATGCGAGATTAAATATTTAGAACTAGTATTTTTTCCTTAATGGCAAAATGGTATTATTTGGAAATTGAAGTGCTTTTCATTGGCCTAATTTAACTGTATAGCTATGTAGTAGACATATTTGTTTTGTTGGAATATTTTTCTTTGGAAATATCTTTAGAAGTTTTTCTGGAACATGAGGAATCAGATGAGTAGGTACATTTATTACTTTAGATAATTGTTATAGAAAACACATATTGCAGTAGCCAGATTTCAAAAGAATTAGTATAAGTTAAGGTATACCCAACAGAAAGGCTGTGTTTGTTTAATTTTTTTTTCTGCTTTAACTTTTATTTATTATTATTTTAAGCTTAATTTATTCCCAAGCCATGAGTTTTTGCTTCTTCAGTTTCTTCTGGGAAATCTTTTTCTTCTGTGCAACCTCCTCTTCTGGTTTGGGAATGATCTGTTCCCTCTCAGTCAGGATCATGTCAGTGTGGCGGAGGAGCTCGTGGATGGGTTGATCTGACCATGAGCTCTCTAAGTCTGGCAGCACATCTTGGGGGCTTTGTTCACCTGGATGTGCTCAAGGACCAGAGAATCCACATCTAAACCCTTCAGTTCAGCATGACTTTCTGCATTTTTAAGCATGTGAAGCAAAAATTCAGCACTCTTTTTGGGCCACCGGCCCTGGGTCCAACCCCACTGTTTGGCCTGGGCACACCGACCAGCACCACCCTTGTAGCGTGGGAAAGGCACACACTGCTTCTGCACAGTCACGTCTTTCAAGTATTTGGTAGCTTTCCGGATGTGCATGCCTTTGATGGCCTGGGCAGTTTCATGGGTGTTCTTGAAGTGCACCCGGAGGTTCGACCCTCTTGATTTGCAGGATTTTATAGGGTTTTCTGGGTCGAGTGAGGAGCGAACCATTTTGGCAGGTCACCTCAGGCCGCTACAGTTAGAGGAAGAGCAGTGGGTTCTGGGAGAATTCATGGTCACTTAACTTCTCCATCTTTGTTTAATTTTGAAGACTCAAAAAATAATTGTGAATGCCAGCTATTTTCAATGTTTATGAATAAAAAAGGGTTCAGAGTAAAATGTGAAAATATATTACTAATTGCTACCTGTCAGTAACTTATCTAAAATAAATGCTAATTCAGTAAGTAATATGTTGGGAACTTACCTTGAAAATAGTTTCACTTTTTAATTTACTATATAATTTGAGAGAAAATTGTTCTGCTCTTTTTATTGCATAGTACAATGGGACTATTCTTTTTGCTTTATTAGTATTGCTGGTAAACAGTATCTGTTGTTTTAAAATTATATAGACTTGCCTTATGATGTTTGGTTTATTGAAGCAATAACCAGTTTATGGAATTACTTTCTTTGACTACAAACTCTTTTTCTATTATTTCTGTGATTTTTTTCCTGCTACATCTGAATTTTCATTATAGAAAACTTCTCTGTTAGTCCCTTAGGAGTTCCTTACCTAGAAAACTTGTTTTATGCTTTCACTCAGAGGTAATTACATATTTAAATGCTGATACAAAAATGACTTTTTTGGGGGGGAGATTAATCATTCAAGATGTTCTTTTTTCTTCCCATTAAAGAGTGAACTAGACGTTCCTTTTAAAGTCAAAGCTGGCCAAATTGGTAAGTATGTCACAGTTCATTCGAGTGATGATTGACCCTTTTGGATCTCTCCTAGCCCCTGTGTTACTTAATCTATAAAATCATCTTTTTGCTTGAACAAAGTACAAATGGGTTTTGGTTTATTTGTTAGAGTTAGGAGTTCTGTGCCTACTTGTGTATACTACATATATATGTATTATGTGCATACTTTTAATGTCTTGGCAAAATTTTGGTAGAAAATAACTCTTTTACATGGAAGGGAGTTCACACTACAGTTTTATTCCTCAGGCTTTGTTTTTGCCACACAGAACAAATCTTCTGTAAGGTGGAAATTCTAGTAAATAAACTTCAAATATAGCCTACTTTCCTCATGTTTTCTTCAATCACTGTAACATATTATGCAGCAGTGTAGCATGGAGGTATATTATGGTAAGTAGAAAATCTTATTTCTTCACAGTTAAGCTCCTACACTATGACTACCCACAACTAGCTTATATCTTTGTTGAACTTCTTTTTAATGGGAAGTTTAATCTTTAAGTGCTCCCAACTCATCCCTGCTACCTGGATTTATCTTCTTTTTGAAGTATAAGTATCCGCTTTGGATAGTTTACTCATATTTTAAAGTTTTCACTTATGTCAGCATTAATTCCACCAGTCTGCTGCTATACCACATCACCTCTCTACTTCACTTCATCATTTTGTGTGCTAGAATCCTTTCCTTTTTATAAATGCCCACCACTACTCTAACATTTCTTGGCAATTATTTAAATACTTGTACTTGAGTATGTTTTATTTCCTGTACATGTACTTTTAATATAAAGTATCTTTTGCATGTTTATTTTTTCTCTTAAAATAAAAGACACTCCCTTAGATTGAAGGCATCTCTAGGGCATGTGCTATCGCCTGTGTTTTTTTAGTTTTTTTATATAAAATATAAAAATAGTACCTGTACTATTTTAGGTGATGATATTTAGAGCTTGTATAAGTTGTAACCATTTATTCATTCTTTTACCTTTGAAATATTTACACACATGTGTTATAAAGAGTTTCAAAGTGCTCAAGAGCACCTTTACAAGCTCATGGTTCTCTAAGCCCACCCTCACTTCTGCTACCAGTTGCAAGTTTGGGAGTCCCCAAGACCACGAGGTTCTATGATTCCCTAGAAGTACTCAGTGAAAACTGTTACACTCATGGTTATGACTCACTGCTTTAAAAGGCTACCGATTAAATTAGTGTGAAGTCTTCTTCCAGTGGAGTCATATGAGCAGTACGAAAGGCCCCCAGTGATGAGTTAGGGTGAGTACACCCAGAGTGTTTCCAATGAAGGAAGCTCACTTGCGCATTGGTGGCCAGAGTTTGTATTGCAACTTAGTCACATAGACAGGTGGCTGACTGCTCTTTTCCAGTCATTTTGGAGGTCAAACTGGTAGCGTAGACAAAGCACCACAACCGTAAACACAGTCACATTGTTTGTGTGGGCTCTTTGGTGTGGGCCAAGGTCTCCAGGTAAACAGAGACCCTGTTACCAGACAATATTCCAAGGGGCTAGAGACCACCTCCCAGGAGACCAGGCTTTTCTTTAGGCAAGGTTAATTAATTCTGTACTACACAGAGATTATGCAAGGATGAATATGATAGCTTTCTCTCCAAGGAAGCTATAGAGCTCTAAAATTAGGACACTGGGTTAAAAATACATTTCCAGAGTATTGGATGAGTTCTAGTTCATTAAAATTTTTTTTTTCATTTTTCAATTATATTCCTTAAAACAATTTACATTTGGGAGAAGGTTTTCTAGTGGTTCCGAATTTGTTCTTTTTGTTTTTAAAGTATTATAGCGATTTAATGTGTTCCTTCATGGTGAGGTATAAAAGACGTTTTATATATAAGGATGCAAAGCATATTTTTTGAAAAAATTACCCCCCCCCACATTTTTGTTTTCACGGTAATTTGGCTTTTTTTTAAAAGATCGTTTTATTGGGGACTCATTACAGCTCTTTTAAAAAAACATACATCAGTTGCATTGAGCATATTTGTACATATTTTGCCATCATTATTTTCTAAACATTTACATTTTATTTGAGCCCTTGGTATCAGCTCCTTTTTTAACCCTCCCTCCCCCCTTCACCCCTTGTGACCCATTGATAAGTTATAAATTGTTAATGCTTTCATATCTTATACCGACCACTGTCGTGTGTCCCGTCCTGTCCCGTCCCCCGCGTACACACACACACACACACACACACACCTTTCCCCTACTCTCCTGGTATCGCTACTCCCATTTCTGTCTGAGGGGTTTATCTGACCTGGGTTCCATGTGTCCTGAGCTCTTAGCTGTACCTGTGTACATGCTCCAACCTAGCCCGCAGTGAAAGGCAGGATTTAGATCATGATAGTGGGGGGTGAGGGAACCTCAAGGAATCAGAGGAATTTTGTGTGTTTCATCGGTGCTATCCTTCACCCTGGTTGACTCATCCTTTCCTTGTGACCCTTCTGTGAGGGGATCTCCCATTGTCTACAGATGGGTTTTGGGTCTCTGGTCAGGCCCCTTTGTTCTTAACAATATGTTTGTTTGTTTTGGGTCTTCTGATGCCTGTTACCTGATCCTGTTGACACCTCGTGATCGCACAGGCTGGTGTGCTTCTTCCATGTGGGCTTATTGCTTCTCTCTTAAAATGGCCAACTTATTTAGCTTCAAGCCTTTAAGACCCCAGACACTAAATCTTTTGATAGCCAGGCACCATCAGCTATCTTCACCACATTTGCTTGTGCACCCATTTTGTCTTCAGCGATCATGCCGGGAAGGTGAGCATCCAGAATGCCAGGTTGCTAGGGCAGAAGTGTTGTGTTGAGGGAGAGCTTGAGCAGAGGCCAGAGTCCATTCACTGCCTCAGTGTATTGCCATATAAATATATGTACCTATGCCAATGCCTCTATTTTAACGAATTAATATTTTATATAAGTGCACACCTATGTTTATACCTCTATCCATAGCTTTGCTTCCTAGATCTTTCCTCTCTTCCCTTTTGCCTTCCTCCTGCCCCATCATCACACTCGCCCTTCTTCCTCTTAGTAATTCCTCTCAGCTAGATTGCTGTTGATCCAACACCCCCTAGATTACTACGTCCTCCTCATTGTTGATTTTAATTTCCTAATTGTTCCCCTGTCTATGGCGTTGTTTGCTCACCGCTCCTGTCTCCCCCGCATTCTGTTCTCCTAAGTCCCCATGGAACCTCCAGTCCCATTGCTATCTCCTCGGCCTTGCTTACCATGCCTGTCTTAAATAGGCAGACAAACTAATAACAACATGGACAGTACAAAAAGAAAACAATTGAATAAAAAGAGGAAAAATAGAAAAAAAATATATAAAGAAAAATAGCCCAAAAAAATCCCACCAAAGCATAGCTAATCCCCGATCTGTCCGCTGACCTTTATGACTCACTCCGCACTGGTCCTGGGGGTCCAGGAACTGCCCTCCTAGCCTGAAGTCTATGTTGGGGACTCCTCAGGTGCTTTTTGGCTTTGCTTTGTTCCCGTTGCTGATCTGTTAGGTTCCCTTCTTGGTTTGCCCCACTGTGGGGGTTTCAGACTAGAGCGAGATATTTTTGTGGGTGCCCCTGGGTTATAGTTTTATTTAAAAGAAAAGGGATACAGTAATGTAACTGAGTTTTAGGACCTTCTTGATGGGTAGGGGATGGTAGTTTAGGATAAATGAGAAGAAAAAAGGCTTTGGGAAGAGCACATAATCTTTTTTTGGTATGCAACTTGATGGGGTATTTCTAGCCTTTTTACTTTTATGCTTACCAAGAAGATAATGAAATTAATTTGATTGAGAACTTATGAGATAGTTGCAACTGTAACAACTATCCATTACAAATATGAGGGGATTCAAAAAGTTTGTGGAAAAATTCCACTTTTATCTCTATTTTTCCATGAGCTTTTTTTTTTATATACAAGAGCAATTGAATATTGACAAAACATATCAGCCCAGTCTAGATCAAGTCCGTAAGTCTGATATTAGCTCATATGTCTGATACCAATCTATAAATTTCTCTTCAGACTCACACAACACATGCAATGATGCCGACTGCAGGAAGATTACAGGCCAGTGGGTGGAAAGTCTTGTGGATCCAGTGGCAGTGGAGGCATCTCAGTGCTGGCTGGGGTGGGGGTGGGGCATCTCCACATGTCTCCTTCAGCTCCAGGGCTCTAGCATAGTTCCATGTGTCTTGTCCGAGGGAATGTCTTTCAGGCAGTGAGTGTGTGTCGCACCACCAGTGAGCCTTTTATCTCCTTAGGGCCTCCAAATGAGGTCATCAATCTGTTACCTGACTGACAACCTAAACTCCACCCCGAGCTTTTAGAAGCTACCTTTCTATAAAATGATCAGATTTAGAAATGACCCAGAAGTGCTTCCTCTTGACTCCCTTAACACAAGACTTACGAGCCATTTAGGAAATTTTGTAAATCTAAAAGTAGAAAATGGAGAAAACATTTATGATATATTTTTTATATTCTTTTCATTTATCAGTTGGGATTCAATACAGATATCATTCCATATTTCAATCATGTCAAATAGAATTGTACAGTCAGTTTCCAACCATCCTTAATTTATGATTTTAATCCTGGACATAAGAGTCCAATTAGAACTGGCCTGTCTAGGTAGCTAGCCTTCCAGGTTCCTCAAAATAGCCTTTCATTACATTATTTTATTTTCTCTCCAGCTTTCTATATATCATTTAATAATTCCTTAAACTGTGAGCATCCTCCTTTCAAAACACAACTAATTAGTTGAATCATGTTCTTTTCTCCTATTAGACCTGTTCAGCAGCTTAATTGAAAGTATAGGGGCTTCTAATATTATTATCTTAATTGTGAAGAATAAAAGTATTTTAGTTTGGTACCTTGAAAACTTGGGAGGTAGGGACAGTTTAAGGGGAATTTCTCTAATGCTTTTGAGGACAATGGCTACCTGGAGGTATGGAAAGGGAATAATAGAGAATGGAGACGTGGTTAAGAAAAAG